GGGGCCATGAACTTCTCAAAGAATTGGCTAGTGAAAACCTTATGAATAGCAGTGAAACAGTGTCTGATATATTAGTGGCAAACTTTATGAATAGCTCTGAAACACTGTCCGATATAGTGCCAGAAGATGAACCTCTCAGGTTGGAAGGCACTCAAAATATGACTGTGGAAGAGCTGCCTCCTCAAAGTAGAGTCAACCTTAATCATGTGGATGGAATAAAGCTTTCAGGACTTCCGTTTGCTGATGTGACATGACTCAAAATGGGAAGAAACAGCTGCAAACATGTGTTCATAATCAGAACATAGAATGCATGAAGTATGAATTTAGGAAAATTGGAAGTTCTCAAAAATGAAGTGGAACACCTAAAGATCAATATTCTAGGCATTAGTGAGCTGAAATGGACTGGTTGTGGCCATTTGAATCAGACAACCGTGTGATCTACTATGCCGGGAATGACAGTTTAAAGGGGAATGGCGTGGCATTCATCATCACAAAGAACGTTTCAAGATCTGCCCTGAAGTACAGTGCTGTCAGTGATAGGATAATATCCACACACCTACAGGGAAGACCAGTTAATACACTATTATTTAAATTTATAGACCAACCACTAAAGCCAAAGATGAGAAAATTGAAGATTTCTACCAACTTGTGCAGTGTGAAATTGACCAAGCATGTAATCAAGATGTGTTGCTTATTACTGGTGATTGGAATGCAAAAGTTGCAAACAAAGAACAATCACCAGTAATTGGAAAATATGGCCTTGGTGATAGAAATGATGCTTGAGGTAGCATGGTAGAATTTTACAAGACCAATGACTTATTCATTGCAAATACCCTTCTTCACCCACATAAATGGTAGCTGTAAATGTGGACTTCGCCAGGTGGAGTACAAGGAATCAGATCGACTACATCTGTGCAAAGAGGCAATGGGGGAAGCTCAGTATCTTCAGCCAAAACATGGCCAGGAGCTGACTATGGGACACACCACCAATGGCTTATATGCAAGTTGATGCTGAAGACAGTTAAAACAAGTCCACGGGAGCCAAAATTTGACCTTGATTATACCCTCCTGGATTTAGGACCATCTAAAGAATAGATTTGATACATTGAACACCAGTGACCGAAAACCAGAGGAAATATGAGATGACATCAAGAACATCATCCATGGAGAAAGCAAAAGGTCACAGGAAATTTAGAAAAGACAAAATGGACATCAGAAGAGATGCTGAAACCTGCTCTTTTTTTTTTTTTTTTTTTTT